ACCATCTTCAACAATACCATCTTCAACAATACCGTCTTCAACAACTTCGGTTTCTTTACCGGTTATGGAAGTTGTTGAAGATGGTATTGTTGAAGATGATATTGTTGAAGATGGTACTGTCGATTTCGTTGGGTTCAATAATTCGCCATGACATTCTTGAATATGCTTCGAATAAGTAGCTACTATCCCAAATTTAGAGTTGCAATTCTCGATAGGACATCTCGGCTTTGGAAATTTCAGCTCACACTCATATGCACAGAGATGTTTATTCTTCATCAACCAATTTCGTCGATCCATCAAAGTACGAACCATTGGGGAAAACGGGGTGCCGATCAAATCTTTATACGTCAAATTTTTCATTTTCACTAAATTTTTCAAACTTGATTAATACGAGTTAGAATGATAGTTAAAACGAAATGATCGAATTATTTGGTCGATTGTCAAACTTATATATCAAATTTTGAGTAAAATTTTTTTTTTGAGGCCAGTTTCTTTGTTTTAATTACAAGAGTACTTCTGCATGTTTCAAAAAAAAAAGATAACGATCGTTTGTCGTTTGTTATCACTTGCGCACATGAGCAATAAACAATTATTACTGATAATCCTTGTATGTTTTTTTCTGGTTGTATGGCAAAGGTCATAAATCGATATCTGTCCTTATCTGTTGCGGTGATAGGTTGATTTTTATACACAGCAGCATTCTTATCTTATTAAACAAAAATCAAATCCATTTTTTAAGTTTACTCGATTTTTGAAAAAAGGGCTGACATTTTGGAAAGATGGACAAGATAAATTTACAACCTAAACCATCAATCTTAACAGTCCAACATGATCATAATTATGCTAAAGTTCCAAATGAAGATGAAAACGCATGTTTATTTTGTCAAGCCGATCATTCAAACTTGGATTGTCCGCTTCATTTTATGAGAAAAATTAGAATCCTGGACCAAAAAGGTCGATGTTATAAGTGTTTTAGCCAACAACACTTTTATTCTCAATGTTTCAACAAAAAAAATTGTGAACTTTGCAATAAAGAACATGATAAAACATTATGTATTCTTTATAATGTCAAGTTTCCCATATGATTTTTTAAAATATCTTGTAAAAAATAAAATTTGTTAAAAACAATTTTCAATTTTTGTTCGTTTGTTCAGCGTTTTTTGCGTTTCGCTTGCTTATCATTCCTTTTGTCAAATATATACATTATTATAAGGTTACTTTCATATGAATATTGTATTATATTAATTGATTTTCTTTTTAAAATTGATATTGTATTGTATTATTTTTAATTCACGCAATTATCCTAGCGGATATGCGTTTTCCAATAAAATTATTATTATACATTATTATAAGAGTTAAAGGGGTCATAAAAAGCGAAAACGACCAAAATTATCATACAAAATCTTGTGTGTACTTTTAAAAAATCGCACACACAAGATTTTGTATCGTCAAGAAAAAAAAAGCAAAATATGAAAAGGTTTTGCAACAAAACAGCAATGCCAAGAACAATCCACCTAAAATCCAGATTTTGTTCTTTTGTTTGTCGTTATCACTTTTTTCAATCGATGATAGTATGACAACTCCAAAAAATATTTGTTTCATTTCTTTATTTTTTTTTTTGTTTTCATTATTATTGGTAAACTTTTGTTTATATTTACCCTTATCATTCATGGTGTAATAGGGGGTTCACACTAGCAGCAATGTGAATGAAATGCAATATTTCACTACATTTCAGCCTTATGGACTGAAATATTTTCGTTGAAATATTTCATTCACATTGCTGCTAGTGTGAACCCCCTAACCTGCAATGAGTCAAAGATCGCACGGGTTTTGAACAATGAAAACACTCAATAGTCATCACATAAACAACTTAATCTTAATTAATCATTGCTTTTTTTGTCATCTGACAAAATCCTCTATATAAATCAATGAAGTTCAAAATGTACGATCGTAATTTTGAAGATGGAAAAATCGATCAGATCAGCTATTACCGATAAATTCGATGTAACCGCGTATCGATTGCCAGTATTCGATAGGAGGCAACGTGAGTTTGTTGAAACTCTTGGCTCAATTTCTAGCCGTGATTTCCATCATGAACTGAATATGATTGTTTCAGCTATTGTTGAAGACCTCATCAGGTGGACGGTGCAAATGCGGTTCGTAACTGAAAGTATAGCAGATTCCCGATTGGTTCTTCGATTAATTCCAGATAAAATTTTCCGAGAAGTGTTCAGGAAACTGAAATTTCAATTTCCAAATCTAGTAGATCGTTGTGATGTGATACTTAAGGAAAAAAAATTTTTGGTGAGTATATTTTGATAGTATATTACCATTTTCTAACATTTTAATTTATCTTTTCATTAGGATCTTATGATGGGAAAACTGAGATCCAAAAAAAGCAGTTATAGGCAATTGAAAAAGCGAATGATAGCGAGGAGTGAAATCTAGTTGTTAATTTTTTTTATTTCCTCTTTTTTGTATTATTTCTGATTTATTTCTGATTTATTTCATTTCTTTTCTTTCATTTGTTTTGACAAAATTATTGATTATTCATCATGGGACAAACACAGAGTCATAGACAGACATATTATCATCATCGTCATAATCATAAAACAAACCAAATGTTCTGACTATTAAATGATATGATCCATACAAAAAAAATTTATGGAAAAGCAATCTCCTATAACACATCTTTCCATTCTTTTGTGTTCTTTTGGTCTGGTTTTGTAATAAAAATGTCAGATAAAAAAAGTTATGATTTTTTTTTCTCAAAAAAAGCGATCATCGTTTGATTTGAAAGAAATTTTTTTCTTTTAAATATCATCATCGTCATAAAAAAAAAGAATCCTATATGATTGAAATTCAATTTTTACGACATTTTCATCATCAATTTCCAATAATTTGGAAATAAAACTCGTTATTAAATCATCCATGAATCCTTTTAGTTTTCCCATTCAATTGTCCATGGCCAATAAATCTGGATAAAATGGCTATTATAAAATTAATGTTAATATTTGTTATTTTTAATATCAATTTCATTTTAGAATAACGATTTTTAATGAAAAATTTTTGTTTCAACATTTGGTGGTAAAAATTTTTTTATTTAAGTGGGTTTTAAACATTAAACCTCAATCATGAAGTTCAACTCCAACCATGGAGTTTAAACCGCATTCATGAGGTATAACAAAAAAATTGGAGTTTAAACTGCAATCTTGAGATTCAACTGCAATCATGAGGTTCAACTTCAAAATTGGAGTGCATTTTCAGGATTGGAGTTTACAATCCAATCATGAAGTTGAACCTCATGATTGCAGTTTACACTCCATCACTTTTTTCTCAGTGTTACAGGTTTGTTTTCCGTAAAGTTTTTTTTTGTTCAAAAAAAAAAACTAACAGAAAGTTTTCTTCATCCGATTTTTTTTATACTAAATAGCCATTTTCAGCAATGCCATACAGTGCTGATACATTACATTTTGTTGTAATATTAACATCCCTATCATATCCGATTGGTTGTTTTTTAGCAATGTTATTTGAATATCGTTCCATTCGAATGATAACAATAATGACTATTGTTTCAACATTATTTGCTGGTTATATTTTAATCGTATCATTAATGAGTCCATTACCACCGTTTATTGATAACGGTAAATGGCATACAATAGCATCATGGTTAATAGTTTTCATATGGTCATCATTTATGACTATAGCATCATATGCAAAAACAATGATTACCATAGTTATTTGTGATTATAATCGTTCAAAAGGTATGTTTTGGGTTGGAATGCAAACACAATTTGGTTCGGCAATCGGTGCTGCAATTTCATTCATTTTGATTAATTATACTGATTTTTTTGATCAATGTTATTGATTTGATTTCAAAATTTTCATTAATTTATTATGATTTTGTTTTTTGTTTTTGTTTTTTCTTCTTCTCTGTAAAATAAATTTGAAAAACAAAACAAAACAAAAAAAAAATCTTCGTTTATCTTCGTTTTAAATTGACCGGACTAGATGGCTCTGGTGTTGTACTTAATAATCTAAGTGGACCAACATCAACCGATGTTTTTAATTTAACTAATTTCGATGAAAATTTTAATATCGGTGATCTTGTTGTTTTTCTCGGTGAACGAATTTCACTTTTTTTTCTTTTCATTTGTTGTGGTACTTTTATTTGTATTTTTATACGTCCCATTTTTGATGGTGATGATGATGATGTTGATGATGATGATGATGATGATGATGTTAATTGACATGATGATTGTAATGATGAATTAATATTTGATGATGAAAATTCACCTTCTGATTGTGATAATGATTTTGTTTCGGTTTCGGAAAAATCATCATCAATCGTATTTGCTGTTATTGATGTTCTTGTTGTTTTTGCTGCTGCTGCTGCTGCTGGTATTGTTGTTATTGTTGTTGTTGGAGTTGGAGATGTTGTTATTGTCGGTGGAATTGATTTAGGTTTTATTGATTTTGTAATTAATTTATGTCCTAATGGTGGTGATGTTAATGATGATGATTGTATAATAATTTCATCAAGTGTACCTCTTTTACCAGTAATTTTTGCTTGTATACTTGGTGGTGTACGTTTTCGTAATGATAAATTACGTAATGCACTTATTGGCCAAATTTGTTCAATAAAATGACCAATATTAGGTTTATTTTTTTGTCGTTCAATATTTAATTTTTTTGCAAATTTTTTAAACCATTTACATTTCATTGGCCATATATTTGAAACATTAAAACGAAACAATAATAATAAGGTTACTAATAATAATGTTAACATTATGGTTATAATCAAAAATACACCAAATATTGACATAATTTACCAAAAATTACAATCAATTCAAAGTTTGGACTAAATTAAAGAAGAAGAAAAAAAATCAAACCAAATCGATTTAGATTCGAATGTCGAATATTTTTCAATCAAATTCCTTACCATTCTTATATTCGAATCTTGTTCCAAAACATTCGAACATTCGAATGTTTGTTAATATTATCAACCGACAGCGCCATCTATGATCCAAATGAAATTTCTGTTTTTTTTTCAAGAAAAATCTGGAACAATCATAATGAGGGTAAGTCTTATCTCACAAAAATCAATTTGATTTGATTTGTTTCAATTTTTTTTGTTTTTTATCAGCAATTTTTCTTTTTTTTTTTTTTTGGATTGATGATAATGATGATGACCAAAGTCCACAATGTTAACTCAACACCATGTATAAATCACATCGCTTTATCAATAAAAGTCCATTGCCTTTATTAAATAAGAATCACAAGTTTTTGGCTAAAAATATCCAACAAAAAACGAAACAAATCAAATCACGAGATCAATGATAATCGATCATCGAGATTAAAACAGAGAAAGAAAAATTTTTTCATTTTTTTCTTGAATGAATCGTTGAATGTAACCAAAAAAAATTTTGCAATTTGATATCATTTTACCACCAATATTATCAATATCTCCTTGGCCATTAAGATAATTTCTTTTTTGTTGAAAAAAATTTGCGTTCCATTTTGGCTTGATTCCAACCACCAGAAAAACCAAGAAAAAAAGATCCATTTCGAATTCTTCCGCAAGAATCGTTCGAAAATTCGAATCATTCCGGAATTTTTCCCGGAAAACATTTCGAAGAACCGATAAGAAAATTCTTTGGGAATTTTCAAAAATAAAAAAGTTTTGAATTTTTCATTTTTCACCGACAAACTGATTATTATTATCAATCATCATTCAAAATCGTGACCAAAAAAAAAATTCAGTAATTTTATACCTTGTTACACACACGCCAGTCACTCATCAATTGATTGATCATCTGATGTCTGATTATCATCATCAATTTTTTTTTGAAAAACAGCGCAAAAAAAAATGTACCAATTTTTTTTTGTCTCCCTGCTACTGTGTTTTGTTGGTTTTTATAATCAAAAAAGTTTTCGTTCATTGCTTTGATTTGATCTGCAAGATTACACTGTATTTAAATTTTTTTATAAGAAACAAAACTACGGCAAAAATTACCTTACAAATTTTTTTTTGCATTAGGTTTTATTTTTTTCAATTTTTGTTTGTTTGTTTTTTGATAATGACGATGATGAAATGATTTAAATATTCGGATACATTTTCATATTGATCGCATTGGTGCTTCTTTTTTTTCGGTGTGACCAAGAATCAAGCCAAATCTTCATTGAAAAAATCCCAACAACGGAAAAATGGTCGATACATTTAAAAGGTAAGTTTATTGATTTTGCTGTTTGATTTACTAAGAAATTTTTTCCTTTAAACCAGTTTATTAGGATTCAATAATTCTTCGGAATCCTCGTCATCGGAACCGTTATTAAATGGACAACAACAACAATCATCAAGTATCACTTTTAAAAATTCTAGTAAAACTAAACAACAACAATCATCATCATCATCATCATCATTGTTGACATCATCATTAACATCATCATCGTCTTTATCAATAAATTCATCATGTAGAATTAATCAATTTCCAAATTCATTATCACTGAATCAATCATATGATTTAATTGATTCAAATCAACCAGAATTACAAAATTATCACCATCATAGTTCACAGAATAACAATAATGGTAATGGTAATGGTGGTGGTAAAATTACCTGGATAATGGGTGCATTTTTATTAATCAATGCTGCACTTGGTGCCGGTTTACTTAATTATCCGGTTGCATATGATCGTCTTGGTGGTCTAGTTTATGCAACAATCATACAATTATTTGCAGCAATATTAATGATGACAACAATGTTAATATTAATTTATTGTGCACAGATTAATAATGAAGATTCATATCATGGTGTTATGCGTACAATGTGTGGCCAACGTGTTATGCGTATATCGGCCGCATCGATTGCCATAACTTGTTTTGGTATTTGTGTTACATTCGTTATTATTATTGGTGATCAATTTGATCGTATATTTGCAACGTATATTGGTCGAGAATTTTGCCATTATTGGTGGGCTAATCGTTTTTTTACAATGACGGTAACGGCCATAGTTTTTACATGGCCAATGTGTTATTTTCGTCGTTTGGATTTTCTTCGTCATATTAATGTCTTAGGTGTTATTGCTAGTTTTTATATAATATTTTTAAATATTTATTCATATTATAATCATGAACCGGATCCATATCATAAATATCAAATACGTACTGAACCACAATCATTATTGGAATTCGTTGCTGCATTACCTGTTGTATTTTTTGCCTATCAAACACATGAAATTGTTATACCTGTTTATGATACAATGGCAGAGAAAAATATACAAAGTTTTTCCAAATCCATACTAATATCAATGTTAGCATTATTAATATTATATTGTTTAGCCGGTTCTTATGGTTATTTAACATTTGGTTCAAATGTTGCACCAGATATAATGTTAATGTATAATGCAAATGATCCAATAGTTTTAGCAGGTATTATTGCATTAATAATAAAAATGATAACAACATATCCACCGGTTGTATTTTGTGGTCGTGAAACTATTGTACGTATTATTTTAAGTCGTTATCGTCGACAACAACAACAACAACTACGATCCGGTTATGAATGTTTAACGGATGAAAATGAATCATTATTATCATCAGCAAATAATTATGAACATCGTTGGAATATAATCATAACAACCATATGGAATATTTCTGTATTAATATTGGCGATTGTAATACCGAATATAACGATTGCAATCGGTTTTCTTGGTTCGCTAGCATCTTGTAATGTTTTTATATTTCCAGGTATTGCTTTATTTGCTTTGATTAAACGATATCGACAATTTGGTTATAATCATCATCATCAAAATCACCAAAATCACCATCATAATCATGGGCGAAAACAACGATCAAAATTCATTGAAACTACTTCGGCTGTCCAATATGTTGATGACGGTGACGGTGATGATGATTTAATAACTGAAAGACAATCATGGTTTTCATCCAAATTCAATATTCGTCATAATCGTTGGTTACAGAATCTTTTACAAATATATTCAATATTCATTATTATGATGGGTATTGTTATGTTTATTATAATACTTATACAAGTTTATCATGATTTTCAACAACCATTTGAACATGGTGCTGTTTGTGATTTAATTTCAATCAATCAATCAACAGCTAATAGTACCCAATCGGCAAATAGTACTCAATCAGATCGAAGATCAATGAATTGAATTAAAAAAAAACAAAAATACTTCCTAGTTCCGGACAAAAAAATCATCAAAAACACACATCCACAAATGATTCAATTTTTTCAAATTTATTTTTGTATTATAAAAAAATAAAAACTAATTAATTAAGCTATCGATTTGATTTATTGATTGGTTTTTCACTCAACATAAATGTCATTGACTTTTTTGTATGGAGGGTTTTTTTGAGAAATTTTTTTGTTTTTACCAGCCGGAAATTCAGATTTGATGATTTGATGATGTTCGAAACTTGTCAACTCGGTGTTAATGATAATATCTTGACCATTCATTCATTCGATTCATTCAATTCGATTCAAACAATGTTCATTGCTCGAACAATATTATCATTAGGTTTGGTGTTGGCCATTACTTCGGGCCAACATCCAAATCGATTACGCAATAATAATAATCGTAATCGTATTCGTGAACAATCGATAACCAGAAAACCAACAAACCGCAATCGTTATTCGATGACAACACCACCAACAGCAGCAATATTATCAACAACATCGACAACATCATCATCATCGATTATGGTTGATGCAGCACCAGCCGAACAATATGTTTGTGATTCAGCCGATAAATTAATAACCGATATTTGGACAATAAATAATATTCTTTATATAAATATTTTACATTATAAAGATGATTCAACAAATTCCATTGATAATCGTATATTTGAATTTGATACACAACGTTCATTATTTACAAATGTTTTTCATTTTCCAACAATGGCACCATTATATGCTGATGCTGGTTTTGGTAATAGTTATTTAAAAGGTTTGTATTAATGGATTTTCCAAATGACTATTTCAACCCAATATTGACCAAGAATCTTTCGTTCACTCAATTTTTTTTTAATCCAGATATAATGGGAAAAGCATTATCCAAATCAAATCATAGTAATAATATAGCCGAAACACCATCAATATTATATTTTTCAACCAGGAATGCATTACGTTATGGTTGTCAACAAAAATGGCTTTATATACCACCAACAAGTCAATTTTGTCGTTTTCATCCAATTGTTAATTATTTGTTTCGTGTTGTGGCAATTATTGATCCAACAACACAATCAACAAGTCCATCGAATCGTTTAGATATTGATATTTATCGTATGATCAGTATACGTTCAGATGATTTTTCAATGTCCGTCGTACGGCCAATATTCAGTTCAATACGTAATGATCATAAACGTGATGTATTGGATCAATATATACAGAATAGTTTACTAACATTACAATTACATCATCAAATTCAATCACCATTAACTGGTACAACAAATAATAATGTACGTTTTATTTTCTCGAATGGTCTTGGTTTATTTATTGCATGGTATCCATCAACAATGCAAACATTTGATTCAGATATAACAATGAATTGTGCAATAATGATACCAATAAAAAATAAACCATATTTACAATTATGTTCACAACGTTATAATTTTTTAACATTTATTGAATTAAATGAAACATTATCAATAATATTACCAGATAATTTAGTTATAAATTTAGAATTAGATTATATTCGAAAACAATATCGTATAATGAATAATTTACAAATTAATTTAGATCAATGGAAACCGGAAAATTTTTTTCAAACATTTTTCCATTGTAAACGTTCACCACCATCAAATCGTTTATCATTACAATATTATGGTTATAATAAAAAACATTTTGGCCGACAAAATCCAAACGATAATGTTACCACCATCGTTGATAATGAAGATGATAATGACAATGGTGATAATGATGATGACGATCCAAAAATGATGAATAATAAAATTCAAGAAAAATTACAAAATTTTGATAATAATAATTATTATGATGATCCAATACTTGATTATCGATGATTAATCGATTGATTTTATTTGATTGATTTTTCCAAATAAAAAAAAGATTTTTTTCGTTTGTTTTTGGCTCATTTTTTTAAAATTGACATGAACGTCGAGGTTGCGGGGTTGATGGTTCGAAAATGTTTAAATATTCAGTTGCTGATGGTTGTTGTTGGTGATGCCGTGTAGTTGATGATAATGTCGTTGATGATGATGGTGGTGGTGGTGGTTGTGGATGATAATTAACCGAATTGAATCTTGTCGATTCAGCCATTTGACTAAGATAATCATATGGTAAATTTGTTCGATTATATTTACCAATCATCATAATACCATGATGATAACTATTATTATTATTATCTACCGAAAATAATGATGGCGGTTGATAACGATAATTCATATAAAGTACACCATAATAAATGGCCAATATTATTGATATCATTATGGATGAATAGGTAAGAAGATTTGGTAAAACTTCAACAATCAATGCAGGTATTGCAACTAATAATAAACAATCGAAAATAATCGATACAATCAATAATGAACGTAATTCATAAACAATCGATATTATTAATGAAAAATTATTTAAAATTGCAAATAAAAATATTAAATCGGATGGTAAATTTATTAAATCTTTTATTGTTGATGATACATGAAATAAAAATATATCTAATAAATATAAAATAATACCAATTATTAACCATAAAATTAATAAAAATTTTATAATTATATAATTGGATGATAATGATTTACGTTGATTAGAATGATGATGATAATTATTGTTATTGTTGTTGGTGGTGGTCATTATCGTTGAACTACAACCACCACCACCATCATCATTTGATTGTATTGAAAATGTACGATTCATATTCATGGATGAAGTTGATATGAAGAAATGATGGCAACCCAAACAAAACAAACCAACAAACAGATTTCTTCTTCTTTTCTTGATTTCCTATATAGATTTTCTTTTGACGTTCTTTGAAGAGAAGATCCGTAAGAAAAAACAGATGATGATGATTTTCAATTATAAAATGTTTGATTGGATGATGATGACGATGATGCCAATTGATTGGATGAACAACAACAACAATAACAAAAATTAAACATCAATCAATTTTTTTTCGTTTGTTTGCTTCTCCAAAAATATAAACAAAATGTCAGCAATAAGCTGTTGTTGTTGTTGTTGATATGTTTGTGTTTGGTTAAATGAAGAATTTCTTTTCTTTGCTTATGAGAATCTGAAAATTTGAAATTAACTTTTCTTGATGAAGACCTGGATAAATTTTCAGTTGTTGTTTATTGTCGATGATAGACAACAAAGATGTTCAACAACGATGAAAAAAAAATCAATGTCAACACATCTCTTGGTGACCGAATAATGATGATGAACTTGGCCAATGGAAAAAAAATGGAACACAAAAAAAACCATTAAAATAACGAGGACATTATTCGAATTGAATCGCTGTTTTTGCTTTTCGTTTATGGCCAAACAGATAGAAAAAAAACAGGACAAAAAAAATCTAAAAAAAATAGAAAAGGAAAGGATAAATGAATGAATGAACAAAATATCTCACACACAAACACATTATATGATTGTGTTTAACTTTGTTTAGTTTGTTCTCGGTAAAATGAAAATATGCGTTCAATGTGTATACTTACTGGATAACAGGTGTGGTGGTGTTTGTTTGTCATGATTGATCTTGATTCAATGGATAATCTGGCTTATTGTTGTTGCTTGGTGTTCCAAAAAACAATACGTTTTTTTTATTATTATTCAATTCGGTTTGTTTGTTTTGCGGAGCTAAACTTGACATTTTTTTTGCCACTTGCCGATAATTTTCAATCAAATTTGATTTTTATGATGAGGGGAAAAAACTTGTAACAATTTTTTCCATTTTTCCCCCATTTAATGAATTTGTTGTTCATTTTATAAATCATGACTGAAATGAGATTCTAATCAATTCGATCCTATTTATGGGATGATTATGATGCAATGGAATGGAGATTCAAAAAAGAAAAAGGGGGCCAAACTTAATGATGATAAAGATATTCGAAAGATAATTATTATGCTTTTAGCATTTTTTTCTTCTGAATTTCATTATAATCCTTTCTTCGTTAGGGTTTTCGTTAGAATGAACAGAAAAAATCTATTTGAAATCAAAGGATTGATATCAAAATAAATCTTTATCGATATTTCGTGATTATCCCAGTGAATTAATTAATTTATTATGCAATCGATATAACATAGATTAGCAGAAGCAGCCATCAGTTTGAAAGAATTTTTCTTGTTTCGAATTTGTAGTTGCCAAGAAAAAACAACGAGCAACAGCCAAAACTAAATAAAATACGAAAGACATTGACATTAATTTCATCGTTGTTGTTGTTGTTACAGATTCATTAGATTATTGCCTGTTGACATTGTAATTCTTCAATCTTCATCATCATCATTGAAGGTGGAGTTTTTTTCGTTTCGTTCAAATTCCTTTAGGTTGGTTGATGTTCACCAAAAAACGATCTATTTTTGGCCAAAACAAACAAAAAAAAAACATTATTGTCAACCATCTTTCGTTTTTTTTCCACAAAACATTTTTCAAAAGAATTTGACTTTGGTAAATCATCATAACGCACATATCGCACACACATAAAATAAACATTCGAATTCGAACGTCCGAAAAACAATCGATATCACTCTCTCACACTCGGCTATTATCGATTTAATCGATTATTTTGTTCTTTCCCCTTGACTCAAAATGAATACAAATGGTGATGAACGTTTAGCAAAATTATTACATGATCGTCGTTTAGAACCGGAACGTTTTTGGTTTCAATGTGATAAATGTTATGGTCGATTTGAATCAAGGAAATTATTGCAACAACATCAAGATCGTAAATTATTTAAATGTCCATTTAAAGATTGTTGTAGAAAATTTACACATCGTTGGGAATTGGTTACACATCAAAAAACCTGCCCAGGTCGTATTTTACAAGGTGATTTTGATAATTATAAAATCTATCAAATGATGTAAGTAAATTCTTTGTATTTACAACAAAAATCCGCTTATTTAATTCAAATATTTAAATATATTCAGGCATCGTTAATGTTTATTTCAATTCATTTCAATATTTATAGCAACATTCGTCATACAGAAAAGCCAAGAAAATTTAATCATCTTGATTTATGGATTAAATATCCATATTGGTTCTGAAACGAAAGAAATAAAAACCCCCGAAACGAAGATGGTTATCCAGACAACGAATAATAAAATTAACAATTTTTTTTGATTGAAATTGAAATGAAAATAAAATTTTAACAAAAAAGTTTAAATTTTTTAAATTTTTGTTTTTTAAAAATTTAAAAATTAAAAAAAAGAAAGAAAAGCTTACGACACCGAGTGTTCCCAAGTGGTCACCCTCCCAAGTACTGACTCGGCTCGACGTTGCTTAACTTCGGTGATCAGACGAGAACCGGTGTTCTCAACGTGATATGGTCGTAAGCTGAAATGACTTGGTTTTTTTTTAAGTTTTAAAATGAAAAAAAAGGTATATTAGCAAAAAACAGCCGCGCAATCCTTTTAAATTCAAAATATATAGATGAACGACTATNCAAAAAAGTTTAAAATTTTTTAAAATTTTTGGTTTTAAAAAAAAAATTTTAATTTAAGGAAAAAGAAAAGCTTACGACACCGAGTGTTCCCAAGTGGTCACCCTCCCAAGTACTGACTCGGCTCGACGTTGCTTAACTTCGGTGATCAGACGAGAACCGGTGTTCTCAACGTGATATGGTCGTAAGCTGAAATGACTTGGTTTTTTTTTAAGTTTTAAAATGAAAAAAAAGGTATATTAGCAAAAAACAGCCGCGCAATCCTTTTAAATTCAAAATATATAGATGAACGACTATATCGATAATCAAAACTAAAAACAATCGATAGTTTGGTTGGATTTAATCCAAAATTCTGTTCTGACCAAAATGTATCCAAAAATCCACTACCAATTTCTGGGTTTCTGGTGGTAGTGGTATTGAATTCTTCACCTGCTATATATTCTTTAAAAAAATTATCCTTTTTCCTGACACGCATGCTCATTTCGAATGTTAAATGTTTATATGAGCATCGAATTATAAACAAACTTGAAAAACAAAAACAAAAACAAATAAATATTTTTATTGAGGAAAAAAATTTTCATTTTGAATCAAATTCAAAAATTGATAAAAATAAAATAAATAACTTTTTTTTCAGTTGTTGTTACTTAAAAAAGCTTAAATAAATTACTATAGTGAACAAGTGTTAATGTGAAAGTGAAAGTCAGAGAGAAGGTAAGATTCATTAGTTTTTTTTTATTTCAAAAAAAAATTTAGCATGGCCATTTTGGATATTGTGAATATATTTTGTTGTTGTCTTTGTGTACAGGTATATATCGTATATTAATTAATTGATTCGAAAACATGGAATGATGCTGAACGAAAAAAATGTGAATAAAACCCTGTGTATCCATTCAGTTTATTCATTCATTCATCAAACATGGTGATCATACAACGACGACGACTATGATTTCAATGACAACGGCAGACTTTAATAATTTTTGTTTTTTTAAAAAATCATATGATAATATCTAGTCATTGTGTTTTGTTGTTGTTGTCTTTTTCCGATCATTTGATTATCGTAAATTTTTTTTTTCATTTCATTAACAACCACCAACACAACAACCGATAAGATTAATCACCGCAAACAAACAAACAAACAACAATATCAATTGTATAACAAGTAAGTATTGTATTTTTTTTTTTTGAAGTTTGCTGCTGCTGCTTTATGGCAGTTGATTATCATCATCATTATCTAACAGTTTTTTTTTGTCTCTTTCGTTTCTGTTTTCTTTTTTTTCGAAAAAATGGATTGATTTTTTTCCTTCAAAAGAAAGAGATTTCAACATTTCGTTTTGTTCATCAAGAAAATAATTTTCAAAAATTTTTTCAAATTTCAATTAGTTTTCAAAACTTTTTTTGTTTGTTATCCACCATTGACGACAAAAAACAAACAACAAGAAAAATGTCAAATCAAATTGTTACACCATTATCTTTATATGAAATATCATTGAATCAATTTTGTGAATCATTGTATAAATGGAGTCAACAACAGAATAATTCTACCAACAACAACAACAACAATACCGGTCAAAATAGAAAAAATGATAAAAATAATAACAACAACAACAGTGCAAATGGTCATTCATGGTCAAGATTGATTGCAAATCGTGACGGACAACAACAACAACGACAAAATTCAATAAATTTAATATTTTCAAGTTTAAATCCATCATCAACATCAACATCATCATATCGTCAATCATCACAATGGTTATTATCATCAAGGCCATCATCAACAGATAATCTACCATTAGCAACCGCCATCACAACAACAACAACAACTAACCAAAATAATCATACTTTTAATCATAATCTGGATGATAAAATTAATTCGTTTAAAAAATCTTGTCATAATTTGTTGGGTACAATATTTGGCCGTAAATCATTTGAATCATTGGAAGAAGATACGACAATACGACTAAAACAACAACAACAACAATTGGTCAAAGATGATCAAAATGGTGATGAGGATGAGGATGATGATGATTATGAAGAAGAATTATCATTCATTAGAAATTATTATCGATTAACAGAAAATATCTGTCAAGATATAATACGTAAATATCAACAATTATATAAATTGAATGATCGTACATTATCATTTCCATTGTTTGATGGTGATATAAATACAATAACAACATTTCAAATTGAAGATGCAACATTAATAACGGTTGATGGATTGAAAGCATTGAAAAAACATAATCTTAATCGGATAAAAATGTCACGCTTGATGAATTGTACAATTACCGAATTGATTAATAATCTATCACCATGGTCAATATGGAATTTGGAATCATTTAGTGTTCCACATTGTTCATTGACAAAATTTAATAAAATTTGTATAATTTTATCATTAACAAGATTAACAAATCTTGTTCATTTGGATGTTTCATATACATCATTCAATAATCAATGTTTGGAAATAATTACCGATCATTTAGTTCATTTAAAATCATTAGATTTAACTGCAACAAAATTAACACTTTTAAAACCATTATGTAAATTAACTGAATTGAATCGTTTAAATCTGCATAATGTTTCACATACATGTAAAGATGAATATATTTTGGGAAATCTTCATACTCTTGAATATTTAGACATATCGGATGAACGTTTTTCTATTGAACCAGAACGTTATTATAGTTATGATCATTTGGCGGATTTTTTTCCCAAATTCATACAATTTGAACGATTAATCGAATTGGATATATCTGGTCGTCATATATCACCATCATTAGTTTTTCAATTGATTCGACAACGTTTAATAAAACATAAAGAAAATTCAAATTATCGTCCATTAAAATTTATTGGTCTCATGTCAACTGAATTTACATTTACACAAATGTTTAATCTGGATACAAGAACATCAGGACGTTTAATGATTACCGGTACTGGAAAATTAATACATGTTATTAATTCATTATTACGTTATCGTAATCGGCCAATATTTATACAGAAAGCATTAATTTGTTTATGTCAATATGCATTTTCGGATAATGTTGATCAATATCATTATAATCATCATAATAATCATCAACAACAACAACATTCACATCATTCTAATGATCAAGATCAACCTGAAAATGAAGAAATTGATATATTTTCTTCAAATTTTTTCAATAGATTAAATGATGATAATGATAATTATGAATATAATGATAGTATTGATAATCGTGAAATATTAGCTGCTGAAAGTCGTTTACAACCAAATGAAATTCAACCATATCGATCTTCATTAATCATATTGATTATTGATCTTATGGAAAGACATATGAAAAATGCACAGTTAATACTATTTTCAAGTGGTCATCTTTATCATTTTACAAAAAATTGTCCAAATTTACATCCATATATTTTACGTAAAGTAATTAATATTTGTATTGAAACAATCAAACATCATCCATCGGATCATCAAATTATAAAAAATATTTTATTAACAATGAGTTCCGATCGTATATTACAAGATATAACATTTGATCGTTATACATGTATACGTTTAGTAATGGATACATTATTTACATTTCAAGATTTATCAATAAATCGTTTAGCATTAGCTATTTGTGCAATATTAGCTGCAAAAATACCAATTGTTGAAAATGCATTATTAGATTCACAACCATTATATTTAAAACGTTTATTAGATTTAGTTGAAAAAAGTTATTGTGAAAATACACCAAATAGTGAATTAATATTAAAATTATCATTATCAGCATTATGGAATTTTACCGATGAAGCACCAAAAACATGTGAAACATTTATTAATAATGATGGTATTGAACTTTATATGGATATTTTGATTGTAAGTTTTTATACTGTAGTTATTGATTTTTTCTCCCAATAATAATCATTTTCATTTTTTCCCCTATTTTGAAGCTTTATCAAGGTAAAAGCAATATTGAAACTAAAATACTAGGACTTTTAAATAATATTGCCGAAGTATTACATTTACGTTTACATTTGATACAACCGAAATTGTTACATCAATTAAGGTTTGTAAAACAATTTGTTTTTGGTCGGAAAATAATAATGTTTCTTGTTTTTGTTCATAATATCGAAAGAAAATTGATTTATTCGGATCAAATTGATGTTAGCTATTTTGCTATAGGAATTTTAGCACAGTTAGCATCTGATAATCATTTAGATTGGACATATGTTGATGATTTTGATATGGATCAAATGTTACAACAAATGGTATGTTAACGAGAAAAAATTCACGGCTGTTCATTTGTTTAATTTTCTTTTGAAAAAACAGTTAAATCAAATACAATCATGGCCAAATCCATCATTCGAAATGGTTGCTTATCGTTCATTTGAACCATTCATATCATTGCTGGACAATGATCGTCATGAATCTATTTCATTATGGGCATTATGGGCTATACATCATGTTTGTACTAAAAATCGTAAGTGAAACAAAAAAATTTTGAAATTGAATTGACCTTTTTTCCCTTTGATTTCTTTTCTTTTTCAGCAAATAAATATTGTCGAATGTTGTATGATGAAAAATGTATTACAAAAATAATTAACATTCTTTTTGAACGTTTACATCAACAATATCGAATCGATTGTCAACAACAACAACGACAATTATCTCATCGTTTAATCAATTTAGTAACCGTTGTTGATGATGAATTTCAAATCCTATGTAAAGCACGTACCAATTGGAATTGTTATGATCGTCATCAATGGAATATTGTTATTGAAAAATCATCATCATCGAATAATGAATCGAATCAATTATCACAACTAATGGAATGTCAAACAACTGTATCATCGGAAGAAAGGCCACCGTCCACACCTACAACAACAATTGATGGATGTGATTGTTTACTTAAATATTTATTGGATAATGATCCATCAATACGATTACCATCAATCATATTGAAATCATTTCATTGTTTTTCACCAATTCCGCTCAATCTATGATCATCAATTATTATCATTTGCATTACACTGAAATTCTATTCTTTCGATCTCATTCAATGTATATTCATAATAATCTAATGCAATACTCTAATTTCTGGGGCTTGTTTTTTTCTTGGTTTGGTATGGCTTTTATTCTATTTGTTTTTTGTTCTGTTTTTTTTCCTGTTCACATTTAATTTTTGTTTTATCCTTTGTTTTGTTTGTTTTTTGTCGTGCAATCAAATTGTTTCTCCACATTTTTAAAGATATTTAATATCTCTATGAATTGTTAACTGAGTAAAGTTGTCTGAGTATATTGGATTTTATTTAATAAAAATGATGATAAAATTTTCACATTATCAAATAACAAACAAAGAAATAAAATAATGAATGAATGAATGAAAATGTAATGGGTAGGGTGTTAAAATCAATCAGAACTGATCAAAGGATTGCTATTTTCTGGTAGGTGGTGGATGTACACAGGATGAATTTATTGAATCCGTTCAATTTGCCGCATCAAAATCCGAAAAAGGTTTTTTTTTGATTTTATAGTCGTCGTCGTTATCGTCAATGGTAATAATCGTTGTTTATTTTTGTTTAGTCGTCGTTGTTGTTGTACGATTATTACGTCGTTTTGTTTTCATCGGATTTGGACTTGTCGTTGAACGTAACATTAAATTTGATTGTACATTACTGTCAATGGAATCATTATCGATTTCCTGTTCGATTGATTTTGGTGATAACTGACTTTCTTTTAAAATTGATTTAACCATACCACCACCACCACCTGGACTACTGAACACTGGTATACGTGTACCATCACCAGTTTCTGATGATTTTGTTGAATCTCGTTGCTGACCACCAACTTTAATAAATCCTTTTGAATCGGTTGATTTCTATTTTAAAATCAATTTTAAAATTAAAATTCAAAATTCAAATCAAATTCATTTATCATCATACTTTGATCTGTACCGATGGTCGTCCAATTTTAGTTGTTGTTTGTGATTCACGTTCAGGTGTTGTTCGCAAACTGTTTTAACATTGAAAAAAAAGTTTAATTAGAAAAATGAAATGAAAATCAAAAATCAACAAAAATTACCTAAAGGTCATTCGTGGTCTATTATCAGCGGTTGTTGGCGGTGTTTTTGATTTTGAACGTGAATCTCTTGATGATAATGATGATGATGATGCTGATGATGATGATGGTGTAACAAATTTTCCAAATTTATTACCAACACGATCCTGTATTGATTGACTAGTTGTTTTTCTTGGTTCTGGTCGCCGAGCTTCAGCAGTTACAGCTGCAGAATATGCAGTTGGTTTTGAAATTCGAGTTGTCGTAGTCGTTGTCGTCATTGTCGATGGAATAATATTACCATGAATATCACGTGCAGGTAAACCACCAGCACGAAATGGTGGACTTTTTCCTTTCAAATCACGTGGTAATTCTTTTACTGCTGAACTATATGTTTTACGCATAAAACCAAATGATGATGATGATTCGCTTGTTTTAGTTTGTGGACGTTGTTGTTGATGTTTAATACCAGCTGTTTGCGTAGTTGTTGTCGTTGACGATATTTTTTGTTGCGTTTGTGGCTTGAATGTACGTGTTATGAAATCACCAGCTTTATCTTTTACTGGTGATATTTTATCACGAATAGTTTTCCTAACAAATTGTCCAATTGTATCATCGGATTGTTGTTGTTCTTCTCGTTGTTGTTGTTCATTAGATTTTTTCCGTACAACCCTTGTTATTATTTTACCTGTTGAATCTTTTATTGTTAATGAACGTGTACGTATTATTTTACGTATACCATTATCATTCAAATCATCATCACCATATCCATTATCATTATCCGAATCTGTTTCGTTTGGATCATCAATCATTTCAAATTCTTCAATAGATTTTTCACCATTCGGTTTCAAACGGATAACCCTTGTAATAATTTGTATATTTGAATCCTTTAACATTGAGGATGATAATGTTCGTGCGGATAATATTGATTCACGTATTGCATCATCAATATCTGAATCAGGTGATTCAGGTATTGTTTGAAATTCTTCCAGAATTTCTTTACTATCATCATCATCATCATCGTCATCGTCATTGGATTTTTGTCGTATAATTCTTGTTATAATTTTTGTATATGATGATTGTTGTTGACGACGATTATTATCATCAGTTTGTTGTTTGTCATCTTGTAAATCTGGATCCAATTCTAATTCTTCAATCGATTCAGAACCATCTGGTTTCAATCGTACAATCCGGGTTATCATTTTACTATTTACTAAATCTTTTATTCGTAATATTGTTTGTCGTATTGCTTTTCGTATCAAATCATCTAAATCCATTTCAGTTATTTTCGAATCTATTGGCATTTCATCAACAATCGATTCTTTACCATTAGATTTTCGCCATATAATTCGAGTTATTATTTTACCGCCGGGATATTTATTCCGGTTGGTTTTGATTGTTTTCCTTAAAATATCATCCAAATCTTGTTCCATTGAATTTGGATCCAATTCTATTTCTTCTATCGATTTTTCATCACCAGATGGCTGAACATGTACTACACGTGTAATAATTTTATTATTTGGATCACGATTTGTTGTTGTTGATGTTCGTAATGATTTTCTAATAATTTCATCAATATCATCACCAGTTGCTGATTCTGGTTCATCATCATCATCTAATGAATCTTGACTATTAGTTTTTTTACGTTTTACAATTCTTAATATAATTCTTTCATTTGATTCACGTCTACGTGATTGGATTGTACGTAAAATTTTCCGGACAATCGTATCAATATCTTTATCACTTGTTGTTGATGGATTCATTTCAAATTGTTCAATCAAATCATCATTATCGATATTACCACCAATCAATGATGATGATGATTTTCGTGACAAAATCTTTATTATAATACGAATATTCATATCAGATGTTTGACCAGAACTACCACTATTACGTATTGTACGATGTACAAAATCATTAATAGTTTGTTCGCTTGTTTGTGGAATTATTTCAATTTCATTGATTATTTCTTCCGATGTACTACTAGTAGTTAATCGACAACTTTTCCGTTGTTGCGATGATAATGGTACAGATGAACGTATTGCCCGGCTGATTATATCGTCGATATCATGTTGTTGTCCGGATTGTTGTTGCTGTTTACGTTGTTGTTGTTTACGTTGACGTTTACGTTGTGGTCGTCGTAATATAACAAATATAATACGATCTTGTGGTTCATGCATTTTGTTCGGTACATCCAATAACATTTCACGAATAATTCGACCAATTCTATCCGGATCTAATTTTGGATCAATTTCCAATTCTTCAATTTGTTCACCAAATCCTGGCCTTATGATTATTAAACGAATGAATATTTTTTCTTTCATAGGCTGGTCAGTTGTTGTTGTTGTACGATGAATAATTTCATCAACATTTGTTTCCGGAAATTTTGGATCAATTTCAAATTCACCAATTATTTCATCATCATCAGCTGTTTGATCTTCTTGATCATATTTTGATTGACGATGTATAATGCGAAACACAACACGATCATTTGGATTTTTCAATTTTTTCGGTGTTTCCATTAATATTTCACGAATAATATCCCGAATTTCTTCTTCAGTTGTTTGTGGATCAACAATCATTTCTTCAATTGATTCATCTTCATCACCATTATCATCAGTTCGGATAATAACATAACGAATAACTAATTTTTTTGTAGAATCATCATTTGATGGTTGAATTTTTGATTGAATCATTCGATTAACAATATCATTCAAATTTCGATCCGGTGATTTTGGATCAATTTTAAATTCTTCTAATAGTTCATCATCATAATCACCATCTTCATCTTCTTCTTCTTCGCCATCTGATTGATCACCGGGATATAATTCCATTTCTTCTTCATTACCATCCGGTTTTTGCCGAATCAAACGAGTGGAAACTCTAGCCGGACCAGTAATTTTTGTTGCTGTTTCACCAATTTTTTGCCGTATAATTTCATCAATATCATCAACTTCAGGATCGATTTCAATTTCTTCAATATGTTCACTACCATCTGGTTTACGTATCACTACTCTAGTTATTATACGTCGTTGTTTTGGTCGTATATTTGATCGTATAATTTTATCAATATCATCCGTTGCTGTTTGTTGATCAATTTGATATTCTTTTATCGATTCTTGTCCATCGGGTGTTTGTTTTATAACCCTTGTTATAATCGTTGTATTTGGTTCTTTAATTTTTTCCGTTGTTGATTGATTGATTTGTTTGATTAGATTTTCAATATCATTTCTGCTTGCAATTGATCCACGTGGCAGTTGAAATTCTTCAATCGTTCGTTGTTGATTAGGTTTTTGTACAACAATACGAATGATTATATTATCATCCAAATCCGATGTTAGCGGTGGTGCTGATGGTCGAATATCACCTGCAGGTAAACGATCATCATCACGTGATTTTACAATAAAATTTATTAATGTTTTTTCACGTGTATCGGTTACTTTTTCCGGTAATTCACCCAAAATATTTGCAATATCAAATTCTGGACATTCTGAATCGATTAAATATTCTTCAATTTGATCTGTTGATGATCTATCAGGAATCTGATGAACGATACGAAGAATTAATTTCTTCCTTGGATCACGTGCTTGTGATTTTATTGATTGTACAATTTGATCAATATGATTTTCTGGTTTTAATGGATCAATAATAAAATTACCAATCGATTCTTCATCACTATCGATTGTTGTTGATTTCGATGGTGATTTTATCGATTGTTCACTTGTTTTTTTCGGTGATTTTGTTGTTTGTTCATCACCGGGATATTTTGGTTTTTCTGCTTGTTTTGGTTGTTGTGGTCGACGTTTCAAAACACGAATTATTGGTTTATCACGTTGATCACGAAGTTTTTTCGGTGTTTGACGAAGAATATCTCGGATAATTCGTTCAATATCCTGATCATTCATATCTGGATCAATTACTAATTCTTCAATCGATTCACTACCATCCGGACGACGTATTACAAAACGTATTACAATTCTTTCACGTGGATCTTTTGTTCCCGGTTTTTTGGTCACCGGTTTTATTGTTTTTTCCATAATTTTATCGGCTAATTTTTCCGGTTGTTTTGGATCAATCGTAAATTCATCAATCATTTCATCTTCCATTGGTTCTTGATCTTTTGGTGATTTTCGTCGAAGAATTTTGAAAATTATCTTTTCTTTTTTCGGATCTTCAATTTTGCTTGGTGATTCATTCAAAAGTTCATTGATAATTTGTTCAATTTCTTCATCGGATGTTTCAGGATCAATTTCCATTTC